TTATATACATATATGATATACATACTGGATATATAGAGATACATATATGTATTATTGAAATGCTGGCACTTGTGAGTTCTTAACTCGACGCGTTGAGACAAAGTCTGAAATTGCAGAAGAATTTCTAACTCATTTATTTTGAACACTTGATTTGCGTTATCTGTTATTAGTGAAAATTTTCATGCCTATGCAAGAGTACAACTAAAATATATTGATATAAAATTATATACATATACCAAATAGCTATATTAATTGATGAATGTCTAATACATACTTAAGTTTCGAAAGTTTAGCGAAAACGAACTAAGGCGAGCTTTGAAAGCGCATTAAAGCTCGCCAACAGCTTCGTAAAAGCTTGTGACTCTATTAAGTTTACCTTGAAAGCTCCCAAGCGCAATTAGGCTTCAAATGAGTTGAAAGCTTATTAAACAGGGAATAGTAAATGTTTTCCTGCTTTCTATATAGATTGAGAAACTAAATATTAAGCAATACAATTATAATTAAGAATAATAGCTAGAATTAATAGCTTTATTTTACATATCCAATTTAGAAACATTAGCGTTAACTTTCATTTTATTAATTATTCTTGGTTATATTATATATTTATACTCATTCACTAAAGTGAAATGAGTATATTGGTTTTGTCCAATGTCCGTTTTGCTGTCCGTACGTCCGTATGACTATAGACCGTATCGCCTCTACTTAAGCTAGAAATTATAGATATTTGAAATATTCGAACCATGAATGAGTATTCTACAGTCGTATTCTACAGTTTAAATATGTTTGATATTCTAAAAAATAATTTGTGTACAGTCTTTATTTATAATTTATTTTTACATATTTTAGTTTTCTTTATTTCTTAATTTTTATTAATTCTTAATTTTCAATTCGTTTTTATTTTTATTTTCGGTGAACTACAGTAACGATGAGGCCCTGGGTGGCACCGAACCACCTGTCGTTTGAGGCAATATAMCAAGCACAACAGCAACAACAACAACGTAAACTCCACAAAAGTTAGGTTTTTTTTTAAATAAACTCTTTTTTTTTATATCTACACATATATAAATATATATAGATCAAAAGTTAAAAAAAAAATGTTGTGTCGAGTAAAAAAAACGAATGTTGCAATTG